AGGACAGAGATGAGAGGGAAACTTAAATCTCAAATCATTTCATTCTAATCCCCTTGCCTGATCCAGGCAACTCACCCAGGATTTTATCCAAAGCCTCTGTGAATGAGTCAACATCAAAACTGACAGGTCCCTCAGCAGAAGACCTGAAAGTTAAGAATTCGTAATTATATTTTATGTTGTTGTTGGTATTTGAGGTAATAATATAATGCAGAAGATTATGGAAATGATTTCTTAGAATCAGCAGCAATTTCTATGGACAGAATAACTTCTTCACCTCATCACTTCTCCTTTCTAGAACAGGCAGGGTAGTAAATATTCACTGGGATTTGGTGAAAACTCCCTCTTTTTTTTTTGGAATGTCAAAGATGCTTTTTCACAAGGCAATTGGACTTTGTTTTTCTTTGAACATGTTTTGCTTCTCATCCAAGAAGCTTCTTCAACTCTGGAGCTTCTTGGATGAGAAGCAAAACGTCTTCAAAGAAAAACAAGAAAGTCTAGTTGCCTCGTGAAAAAGCATCTTTGGGATAACTATGACCTGGATGACTGAGAATCTCCACAGACAATGTCTAGGTAGGTTCCTAAAAAATAATCAGCATGGAACTGCAGCATGAGTTTTCCTATATAAGTGATAAGGATTTTTACAAATAAATATTGATCACATAAATATATTTAAATATTAAATATTATGTCTAAATACCGTGTTTCCCCAAACGTAAGTCCTATCCCCCAAATAAGCTCTAGCTTAATTTTTTGGGGTGGGCCTAATATAAGCCCTACTCCAAAAATAAGCCCTAGTTTTGGGGCAAGGGACACGCCTAAAAATCAAGCTAGGAATGGGGCGTGGGGGTGGTGGAGCTTACCATTGCAGCTAAGACTCCCATAGATTGGCACTTGCCTTGCCTCACCGGCCCATTTCTTCTGCGGCCGAAGGAGCAGCTTCATTTTATAGCTGACAATGGAGCTCTGGCCTCCATTTTGCAGTCAGAGGCCTTGCTGGAAGGCCTCTGATGGCGAAATGCAGGCCCCATTCTCAGCTGCAGAATGAAGCTGCTCCTTCGGCCGCAGAAAAAGTGGGCCGGCTGGGCAGGGCTGTCGATGTTGCTGCCGCGAAGTGAGTAGAAAAGACCGACCCCCTAAAAATAAGACCTGGTGCCTCTTTTGGAGGCAAATAACAACAACAGACTGGGTCTTATTTTCGGATAGAAACAGTATAAGTCACAATTTTAAAAAAAGGGTTAATCATTCGTATCAATTGTGGCAATAGGATTGAGCAAACTTGCATTTAGAACAGATAAATTATTTAATTGCTATATAATTAAGCTAAACATGCAGTAATCTCTGCTATTATACAATTTGCCTGAATCAGGCAGATGTATAGATCTTTTATATCCAATTCTTTTATTCTGGCTATTTTTCTACATGTTATATAGAATGAGTTTTACCCCTTATTTTCTGGCAGAAATGAAATTCAGTTTCAGAAAATTAAGCAAAAGTTGCATTTGCAATTTAAATACTTATTTATTTTGTAATACTTAAAATTTATTTACCAAGTAATAATTGTTTTTGACAGACATAAATTTGATATAAATGCCTAGAGTTCTTTTCGCAAATTTGGCTTAGATTATTTGAAAATGATTCACCAATACAGAAATTATTACATTATATGGAAGCATGCTCCAGTCAGTTATGTAGCTACCTACCATGGTGTTTCTGCTCCTTTGTATGTTGAGACTTTGGATATAAAAGCCTTCATGCTTTCAGCAACCTCAGTCAAGTCATAGTTCTGCTTTTCCTCTGAGGCAGAAGCAGATTTATTTGTGCCAGATGTCTCCTTAAGAATCTGATCGAGAGCATCTGGAGAAATCTCCAGCCAACTGTCATCTAAAAAAGTAGCATAAAGCGTGAGGATAATTTTTATTTATTTATTAAACAAATTTATACAGCTGCACACTGGGTGGCTTATAGATAATAAACACATAATTAATAATAATACTGCTGACTGTAAAAAGGAAAACGTGTGAAAGTTGCAAACAGCTGCATATATATTAGGAAAAGATGAAATGTCCAAAAAAGTGTTTAGATTTTGCAGAAAATATGACGGAGCTGACTAGGTTTGAATGAAGCCCTGTTGCTATATGCCAAATTCAGAATCATCAGAATAATTCACAGAGTTTGCATATCTATCTTATACTCAATAGTTCCCCTACTGCTAGGTCCTCATATGCTACTAAAATTGAGTTGGGATATTAACACTACTAGACAAGACAGAAATGGTGTTAGATGCCTAATCCAACAGTCTGATGCAATGTTATCTCAGGTTAAAGCAGGGCTCTTCAAACTTGGCCCTTTTATGATTTGTGGACTTCAATTCCCAGAATTCCTCAGCTAGGCACGCTGGCTGAGGAATTCTGGGAGTTGAAGTCCACAAGTCATAAAAGGGCCAAGTTTGAAGACCCCTGGGTTAAAGAGTCAAGAGCATATTTGCGATGGACTTCCGGTGGCAGGCGATTTCGTCGGTCGCAGCTGTTTGCTGCCTCCCGCCTGTTTTGCGTAAAAGCCGGTTTGACAGCCAGCATCAGCTGTCAAACGGCTTGATACCTTTCCCCTGGGCATAAGGGGATAGGTGAGCTGCCCGGGGTAGGAGTTGAGTTCCCGAGTCGTCCTATATGGACGATGTAGGCG